CCAAAAAAATGGGGGGGCTGTCTTTCCCCCCCCCCCCCCCCCCCCCCCCAAAAAAAAAAAAAAAAAAAAAAAAAAAAAAAAAAAAAAAGAAAGAAAGAAATCAAATTCTGTCCCGGTAGGTGTATATTACAGTAAATATATTCATGTTTTCCGTTTTATTTGCCGAGAGAAGCAATTCAATTTTTGTCCTTGCCCCCCCCCCCCCACCTCACCTTTAGCACAATGGTAACTCGACCCCTAGTGGGTCCACCAGTTAGACCAGTACCATTGTGAAACCAGAGTGGTTTAAACTTGTCATGCGTAACAAATATTTGCTGCCCCGTTCGAGAGCAGGAAAAGAAGAAAATATACCTCACAGTCTGCTGGTACTTAAATGGCGGTGATGCACTTGTGTTTTCTATTGCTCGTCGGTGCCTTCATCAGCCTCTACGGCGGAGCCATCGGCGCTAAGATTCTGCTGTATCCATACTCTCAAATGTACAACTCCCGTTTCCGAAACATTATGAAGATTGGGCAAATGATGGCAGCGAGAAACCACAGCGTAAGCATGTTGATCACTACCGATATTAATCTTAAGGATATACCCGAGGGGATAGAGGTGTTAACTGTCAAGGTAGACTATGAAACTTTGTCATTTTCCAGCGAAGAACTTCTTACCGATGTCCACAAAAATCCCTTTCCTCTCGTCATGAAATTGGTTGAGAAAAGCAGGGGCACGTTGGATGCACTTTTTGGGAACAAAGAGCTACTAGATACTCTGATTTCTAAAAAGTTTGACCTCCTGTTTTATGACGTAATTGCTACAGAGAGTTTAGTATTGAGGGATTATTTAAACATCCCGGGAGTCGGGTATTCTAATTTGGGATTCGATGGCGACTGGACGGTATATCCTGAACACCCTGCCTACATGCCAAATATTATTACAGGATATTCGGATCATATGAGTTTTTGGGAAAGATTAATGAACACATTGATGTTAACATTGACTGTATTTTTTAAGTACTATGTCACGGCTCCTTTTAATGATGCAAAAGAAAAATACAACCTCAACAAGTCCTTGTCAATTACGACAGCTTATACCAGATTGTCTATACTGATAGTTAACGTAGATTTTGCTTTTGACTATCCCCGCCCCGTTTACCCTTGGGTAAAAACGGTGTCGGGTATCCTTTTCCACCCTGCAAAACCCCTATCTAAAGATTTGGAAGAGTTCGTAGAATCTTCGGGAGAACACGGCATCATTATCATGAGTTTTGGGTCGATGGTAGCCGAACTTACGCCAGAAAAAGCAGAAATAATAGCCACGGTTTTTGCACAACTTCCGCAGAAGATTATATGGCGGAACAATAATTCTGATATTCCGGGATTGGCAAATAACACGAAAGTTATGAATTGGATACCACAAAATGACCTTGTTGGTCATGCAAAAGCGCGACTGTTCATAACTCACTGCGGAGTTAGTGGTTCACACGAGGCGCTGTATCATGGGGTCCCTGTTGTTGCTGTACCCCTGTTTGTAGATCAATTTAGCCACGCGACAAAGTTTGTTGAACGTCTTGGAATGGGGGAGAAGTTAGACTTCTACAATATAACAGAATCTACTTTCTCTGCAGTTATATTGAACGTTCTGAATAACCGAAGCTATTTTGCCAACGCTAAGCGTGCAGCAGCAATGGTTCGTGACCAGCCGATGGACGGAAAGGAAACACTGATGTACTGGGTTGAGTATGTTATCAGAAACAATGGAACGTTGCATTTCCATTCTCAGGCGATGGAGAGACTTAGCTGGTACCAGTATTTATTGCTAGATGTAATAATCTTCCTATTAACGGTTGTAATATGTGTTTTTGTCTTTCTTTTATTTTGTTGCAAAATGTTGTGCAGTCATGTTTTAAAATTTCAGCCTCAGTTAAAGGAGATGAAGAAAACTGACTGATACGTACCCCTTAATCAGTCCATGTAATTTGTTTTTATGTGGTTATGGATATGCAGGATCAATTAGTTATTAGTTTTAAAGGATTTGCTTCANTTATGAATTGGATACCACAAAATGATCTTGTTGGTCACGCAAAAGCGCGACTGTTCATCACTCACTGCGGAGTTAGTGGTTCACACGAGGCGCTGTATCATGGGGTCCCTGTTGTTGCTGTACCCCTGTTTGTAGATCAATTTAGCCACGCAACAAAGTTTGTTGAACGTCTTGGAATGGGGGAGAAGTTAGACTTCTACAATATAACAGAATCTACTTTCTCTGCAGTTATATTGAAGGTTCTGAATAACCGAAGCTATTTTGCCAACGCTAAGCGTGCAGCAGCAATGGTTCGTGACCAGCCGATGGATGGAAAGGAAACACTGATGTACTGGGTTGAGTATGTTATCAGAAACAATGGAACGTTGCATTTCCATTCTCAGGCGATGGAGAGACTTAGCTGGTACCAGTATTTGTTGCTAGATGTAATAATCTTCCTATTAACGGTTGTAATATGTGTTTTTGTCTTTCTTTTATTTTGTTGCAAAATGTTGTGCAGTCATGTTTTTAAATTTCAGCCTCAGTTAAAGAAGATGAAGAAAACTGACTGATACGTACCCCTTAATCAGTCCATGTAATTTGTTTTTATGTGGTTATGGATATGCAGAATCAATTAGTTATTAGTTTTAAGACAACTCATATCGGGCCTCTCCCTCAGTAGAGTACTGCTGCACGTATGACGGCAGCCACTTGCAATATTGTATTCCGTATGTACACACACTGGACAATAGAAGTGTCATCCCTACTGAATCAATACTTTGGGGGAGATAAATGACTGTAGAATGATATACTCCTGGTATCATTTTAATAACATCAATTTCACAAAAGAAACGGTTCTGATTGAATAATTCAACTGCATCGATATTCTGACATTGCTTATATTCCGCCTCTTCAGGTAAATAAATTTGATTACTCTGATTCAGGGGGTGACACTTCTATTGTCCAGTGTGTGTACATACTGTTGGTACGTTTTATGGTGTATTATTATTTTTATTTTTACGAAACGAGAATTCTTTTGTGTGAATAGAATCAAGAATACTTTTGTGTGATCCAAAACATTTCTCAGTCGAAGGACAGTCTGTATGAAGCGCTTTAACCAGCCTGGGTCATCCATGATAACAAGCGTAGCTAAAAGTTGTATAGTATAGACTTATTTACAAGATACATCTCCCGTTCTTCCATTTGTTGACATTTTAGTCTGAATCTCGCTCAATCCCTCCAGATTTCATCAAAGCAATATCTAGGGATTTAATTAAGTCAAACAAAAATACATAAATATACAGCTGTATACTGACGTTACATATCTGTTTTGGGTATAAATCACTTTTGGTGCAGATTTATCTAACAACGCACAATGACTATGATAAGACCAATTAACTGAATAATTAATTTTTTTGTTTGATTCCCTAATCCTGTCGAACAAACCCATTTTGCTACAGTCGTGTATGACCAGTTTATTAAATAAACTAATAATATTGTTGTCAGTTTCTGTCAACGCTGCCTACTCTACTGGCGTTTAACACTGTGGCTTGTGACCTAGACGAAAGGATACGTTTCGCGAAAAGATGGCACATATGCGCTTCTACGGTTGAACCGAACTCCAAGTTTGGCAACATCTTCCTCCAACTGAGAGTGGTAATTCTTTGCACTTGCGCAGTCTCCCTACAGAGAATAAGAAACATGTCACTAAGGGTGCGTTCACAATGAATCTGTCGTACTATAGTTGCTGGGCACTTAATTGTTTCCATCGTATTCGTAGTAATCACCAGCTTTTCTGTATTCTACTTTTAACGCGAGAGGAGGCGTGTTTAACTATTATTATTATTTATTTATTTATTATTATTATTATTATTTATTTATTAATTTATTATAATTGTTATTATTATCTTTTTTTGCATTAAGTGAGAATCCCCGTGGAGTTCGTGCGCAGTAACTAGTAGGATGGATTAATTGTGAACGCACGCTAAGAATGTGTAGCTTTTTTTTTTTATCAGAAGACTGGGAATGGCATATCCATGGTTATTTTTAAATAAATACAAATCGGCTTTCCAAAACAGTAAGACATACCGGTATCTTGGTGGTGTAAGAGACTAATTTCGTACCAAGATGAAGCTAGTGTTGCAAATGATAAATACACACACTGGGCAATAGAAGTGTCACCCCTACTGAACCAATACTTTGGGCGGAGATAAATGACTGTGGAATGATATGCTCCTGGTATCATTTTATTAACATCAAATTTCACAAAAAGACCAAAAATACAATTCCATGGTACAGCGCTTTTATACTCATTAGTCACATAATAAGTAGACTAGGCATTATAACTACTCAAGATCTACCTACATGTAATTTGTTTACTCTGATTCAGGGGGTGACACTTCTATTGTCCATTGTGTGTATGACATACTTAAAATATGTCATATTTAAATGATTTGTAATTCACGAGAGATCATTTATAACGCGACGGATGGGTCAGTTAAGTAAGAGGACGCACAGTGCTTCAGTAAATGAACATGAACAATAAAGTTTACAAGGACATTACGAAATATAAAAAGAACAATCAGTCTATTTCATGGAGTACCTCACTCTGTAATTCACACCTTTTACCTTTAACGAAGATATACCTGAACTATTAACAGATCGCTTTTCAGTATGCCAGAATGTTATGCTAAATTTCCAGCATTAAATCGGAGGTCAAATATTATTAACTTGGTATTTAAAAGTAAAAAAATATAAAATAAAATGGACTGTTAAAATTACACAGGTTGAAAATACGCAAGGTAAGAACTTAATTAGCACCCACCCTTGCCAAGAGTTTTCCTCCAGGTTTAAGCAACTTCAGAGCTAGCTCCATCACCAAGTGAGTAGTTTTAAAACTGTACGCAAAACCTAAGAATAAAAATAAAATTCAAAGCGATATAAAATTGGCAAAAATATTATGTCATTCTAACCCCGCTATTTCGTTGATCAACAGAAGATTCAATTCGAGCCAATTGAAAACTCCCCCTCAAATTTCAGCAGCAAGACACAAACCTTAAGTCGATGGAGACAGGACTTTAGAAGAATTTATGATTAGAGAACATGCACTTTTGAATCTGATTATATTTTTGTTTATTGTTAAGATCTGGTTAATTAATACCCAATTAATCTATTCTCACCGTATTTGTTTTCTATATCTACTGCGAATTCACTTATGTCATTGATGATGTAGTCGAACTTCTTTTCCTGCTCTAGGCTTTCCTTCATGACTTGGATACCGTCACCAATTATGATCTATTAACAGTCAATTGAAGGCGGTCTAAAAACTCACGAGTAAGGTATTCGTATACGTATCAGAAAATAAAAAAGTCTATTAGATTTCTTTGACAAATTCCCATTAATTGTCAACACACGTTGGTGATACCCTTTATAGTAGCCCTATTGTGTAATTATGAATTCAGCATTTAAGCCACAACGACACAGACACAAGTAGATGTATGCATGGCAGGTGATAGTTTTGTTTCTCACATTGGTTTTATTTTTCACATTAGCCTGGATGCTACACTTACCTTATAGTTGGGCCCCTCAAAATTATCCATGCTGTCACCACATACGCTACGCAAGTGAGTACGACACGTTTTAATCACCTCTTCATCAACCTAACATCGTGAATACAACTTATACTTGAACATATATTGAATGACAATTTATATAATTTATAAATCATTTCAAACAAACATGAGTGCCATTTGCTTTATTCAGAACTAGGGTCATCAAAATAATAATTTACATAGCAAGAGTATTTTCATTTAATCTTATAACAAGCTTGCTCGTCATGATTAAGATGATAATCTAACTGACAAACTAGTCATGGGCATTCACTTTCGTGGTGAACACAGTATCAACTTTTTTTGTCGTAATTATTTAACAGCTGACAGTTCATTGGAAACTTGTTCACTTACCTCGGCCATGGTAACATGCTTTGGATTCTCCTTCAACAACTCGTGCAGGATTCCTCCGTCCCCTCCTCCCAAAATCAGAATCTCTTTCCCTTCATAGTTTTCACGCTTTGTCGTTCCCAGGCCTAGTAAGGTCTGTGTGTAGATTGAGTCACTCTCACCAATACCTTGAAATTAGACAACTGGACACATTTCACACATTCTGTAACAGTTTTATTATGAAAACATAGAATAAATAATATGGCTTTCCGTAATCAGAGATAGAGACATTTCAGGCTTTTAAAGTTCACTGATAATTACATGCATGTATCATTGGCTTTTTGTTTTAAATGACTGAGTAAGCTGAAATATCGGTGTGACAGGAATACCTGTGTGTGTGACAGGAATACCGGTGTGACAGGAATAGTCGTTCCCTAGGAACCATAGGGCCTATATATAGTCTGTTCCCCATTACTTTGTACAGATCACATTCGTCCCATATACATGTACATATTACTAACCCCAATATTCCGACTATATAGCCTGACTATGGGACCCTGGACTTCCTGTCAGAACGGCATTCACTAAAATCCACCAAGAAAATATTTTCATCAATAGGGCCTGTAGAGTTATCTGTCCAACCTTAAAATATAGCTTTTATAAACACGGTGCAGTTGATTCGTATAGCGTACTTTCTGTCCTCTATGTTTATAAAATATCTAAAACATTATCAAACATTGTTTATAGACTTCAGATTTGTAGGCCAAGCATCCCCATGGTTTTTAACACTATAGGAAGTTTTGTTGGAGATATTTTTAATATTATGACAGCTGTTTCTAAAGTCAACTTACTGACATCGTCATCAAGGACCAAAACATTCCCAAGCTCTCTGGAGTGCATGATCTTGATATTTTGCCAGGAAGAGTTGGTCTCATAAACAACTTTATCATAGTCTGGCTCGACCAGTCTTTCATCTGCTGTAACGTAATAAGGCCACACCTTACCACCACGACGAACGGGGGTATACAGGCTGAAAAGTCAAAAGTGATATTTTATATATTCTGCTCATTTTTGTTGTCGGTTTCCCTTTATGCCGTAGTGTGAAAAATCTAAGGATCGGGTCATAGCTTTGTTGCATTGCGATTATCCTTTACTGAAATATAGTGAATAAAAGTCTTATTCGTAACACACAGCTAACACAGGAATTTTTCTTATCTATCCACCTACCAGTGTAAAAATTCCACCTCAGAACCAAACTGATCTTTTATTTTTCGTTTTAACTCCTTGATAGCCTATACAAATTAAACAAAAAATAAATAAAATAAAATTGATATTAGAATTACTAGAAATAAAAGTTTTTTACAAATAACTCTGGTCTTAAATTAAACGGGCATCTCTTAAATATTTTACGACATTTGAAAAAGTGTCACGCACAGAAACATACATATGCATACATACATCGAGTACACCGGGACCACAAGCATCCGTATGGCTGAAATATACTCATACAGGCTGTCGGGACATTAAAAAATCTACCAACATTTTGGTAACTTCACGTAATGTCTTTGTTAATTGTTTGTCATTCTTTATAATACGTTGCGTAAAGTCTAAAGAGGTAAAGTCATCTTGTTTGTTAATCTGATTAAGATGTTAAGATCAAGAGTCCTTTGACTTAATGGTTTGAGATTAAAGAGTGGAAACGCGTCATCCAACCTAAAAGTATACAACGCTGTCCGTATTTCGAGCCTGTTTGTAATTTTTTCTCATTGCTAAATTTGCGCGGTTCCAGACAGGGCGGCTCCTTCAGCGAAGGGCATGTCCGTCATGTCCTGACTCTGCTATTTCATTTTCAAAACATTAACGTTAACTCACACGCCCTTCGCTCGTCGTCACCATCTTACTTGGAAACCGTGAAGATGTGCTAATTATAGGTGAGAGTCCTATATAAAATCTTAATTAGTCTTTCGGTGCAAATTCCTTACTTCCATATTGTATTTCCCCATGCTCCATTCATACTCGTCACCCTTGCCATAGTGTTGAACATCAAGCGTAACAAGCCCAGTGAAGTATATCCTCAAGGTGGCATGACTGCAAAATAAAAGTTAATAACTATCTGTTAAAATTTTCTTATGAAACAAATTATACAATTTTTTTGATTATTTATAAATGACTTAGGAAAAGTGTTTCACAGCAATTGTTGCCAAATATACGAAACATCTTAATCCCTGTACCAACTAATATAATACAGTAAGAAATATGGGTGTTAAAAAATTAGAGGGCATTCGGAACAAGTTGATCTGCGGACTAACGGATCCGTGGATCAAACACGAGCGACCTTCATTAAAGCAGAGCCGACTAGTGCGCTGATGCCCCCCCCCTCCCCCATCTCCACACGCGCCGTCCCTGCAGAGGTCTAGCAATCAAACCTCGGAGCCGTGATTAAATCAATTTAATGGCGCGTGCCGAGGCAGGGAAACCATCAGCGGATTAGACGGCTCTGCTTTTATGTGGGTCGGCCACATTTGATCTGCGGATCGGTTAGTCCGGAGATGAACTTGCTCTGAGGAATGTTGCACTCAGAGAGCACAGACCTCCGCCAAGGCCACTCAATTCTCATTGTGCTAAATAATTTATTGATCAACTAATTAATGAGCTAAATGTTCATTGTTAATCAACAAGGTACATTGTTTATATTATAAGAGTTAGCTTGCACTGGAAAAATATTTTTAAAATTCCTGGATCCAGACGGTGATCCAGATCACAACCAAAGTCCAATCACTTTAAAATTTGCCAATTTCTGACTTTTCCTGAAAATTTCAACAAAATCCATCCATAACTTTTTGAGTTCATTTTCACTTCTCATAGTTTTCGGGTCATTCCTTCTCACCTTCCCGATGTCCCAGTGAAGATGAACAGTTTGTCTTGATCTACCTCTAACTGAGTGGGCTCTGAGGAAAGTGCACCCAAAGTCAGTTCTCCAATTTTCTTCAAACTGACCAGGAAAGCTTTATTTAAAACACAAAATCAAAGAATAGTTTAATTTTTACAGGACGCAATATTACTGCAATGTAATTGGTGATTTATTGCATTTTTTTCTTAACAAAATTATCATCAAAATTAATATCATGTTTGAAATATAAATGCTATTTCAAATTGAATTTGTTCGAAGCAAAAATGGAACATTGCGTACTTTAACAGTTTGAGTATAAATAATCAGTTTGTAGCACCACCATCAGTACTCTCTGACCACAGGGTGCACAAGTACTCTGTTACAAAATTTTTGTATCGCATACTTAAATTTTGGAGACTATGGGACCATTCCCAGACCCTATTGTATTAACTGTGGATCGATCTATCTCCAAGGTAATTCTCGCTAAATTGCAATCAACTTAAGCGGCTTAGATGTCTGGCACGCCTACTGAAGCTGTTAGAGGGTAATTAACTATCGTTTAGCAGCTACAGTAGGCTTGCCAGACATTTAGCGAGAAACCCTTGGAGGTGGATCGATCTTCTTAGATCGATCTAAGTATATAGATTGTCTATTTTAGAAGCCCCTGATATTAGAGGGTACCACATCAGTACAGCAGTGATTAGGGACGCAATAAAAGTGATTATTCAGACTTGATTCTTTAGGGCTGTCTGAAATACAAATTAGTTCAGACTGCTCTATTCAACTATTTTTATCCTCTCTACATAAAATAATAGCCGACGTATAAAAAATCAATTTGAATCGTCAGCATTGGAATTCGAGGCAAGTAGCAATAGTGGCCTTTTTACCTGGGTCGCTAACGTAGCTGGCTGTCACTTTGAAGCACATGATGATCGTGTTGGCAGTCATGTTTTCGAGTAGCAAAAAAACCCAAACTCCAAAGCGTGGTGCTTTTTCTGTCTGAAGAAAAAGTTATCTCTGCAGCAGCATCAAAATGATTTCCATTTAAATACTCTACTCTGTCTGAGTGTCTCTGCTTAGACAAAGGTTTCTTGGCATAAATTCTGACAAGATTTGCTAATGTTTCATTGATGTGTCATATCAACCATTTTGTTTTGACTATATCACAGTTTTAGTGTGGGAAAATCACAAGGAGAAGACAACATTATAAGTTTAACAATGGCCTCAATAAGAATATTGCTCCTGTAACGCCCGATAGCGATACAGGAACTGAGGGAGGCTGGATTGCACGTAGAAGAATAAGACACACGTCCTATTTAATGGAGCCTCCTGTTGAAATAACATACAATTCGTACTCAGATTTTTTTTCAAAAATCCGACAAAATTTGTTACCTGAAATTATCAAGATACATCAAAGGGAGAAAAAAGATAGGCCTACGAGAGTTGCAGTGTGTACCACGCGTGCGTGGGTATGCCTTTTTTTAATTGCCTTACAGGGCCTTTACGGGTGCCTCCATCAAACAAGACAAAAACATATTTAAAACCAAAGTTAAGGTTTCCCTTTCTCCAGATTTGTCTTTTGCTTAGGAAATGGCACGAAAAAAACTGCCATATGCGGCATGTCAGCGTGCCTAAAGTCACTTTTGCACGTGCTATAAACACAATGCTTATTTATCATTGCGGTAAGTATCAAACATGCGAATGAAATGAGGAATGATTACAGTTATGGATAAATATTTGGAGGTATCCGTCAGTTATACATGTAGATGCGTGTGGTGTACAAGCGAGCGGTCTATTGTTTGGGTTATCTTGTTTGTGCTGACATCTACAGGACAACTAATGTCAGCACTGTATCGGCTATTTCCTATCTTTTCTTCACGAAGAGCACGTCTGACTTCCCTTTTTTCTAAAAGTTGTCTTACTTAGCTGTTAAGATGGTGAACGTCATGAAAGGCGTACTAGTCGAATGGTAAGTGTTATGTAACCTAAAAGATTCACATTTTAAAAATCTGATGGTGCGGATTGTATCAGTACTGCGGTAGACTAGTACTGCAGTAGAGCCTAGAGTCAAGGCTAGAGATCACACAAGTTTTTTCTCATTAAAATGGAGACTTGATATTTGGTGCACAGACAGGACAATACCTGAGTATGAATAAACCGTAAACTTTTTAGCTATCCCATTTAGACCAAAAGTTATTCTAGTTTTAGTTCCACCATATCTGTCATTTTTTTCAGCCACCACATTCAAAAATGAGTCACCACTTGATTCTCTCCCCTAAATGATGCCAAAGGATCTTCAAATTTGCCACACAATAAGTAAGGGAGTCAGGCATGAACACACATGCGGCTTTGGTTTTTCCAAGCAAAGTAATGTTCATGCAAATTAAGCAGGCAAAGTGAAAGAATTTTGGGTCACAGAAGCATGCAATATTGAAAACACTAGTACAAATTGATGCAATTTTTCCTCCAAAGCAAATGCAATAGAACTTGACCTCCTAACATTAGCTGAATGGGGGGCAAGAGGGGGGAGGGAGGTAACAGAAAATCACAAAATAAACAATGCCCGAAATTTTCTCAGAAATCTGACATGCTGGTGAAAAACAATTCCATATATTTTGTCTTGGCACCCTTTGCTGAAGAAAATTATAATTTAAGGGTTTGCCAACCACATAAGTCAACCACCATACATGATTTAATAAAGAACTGGATAGATATATTGAAAAAAAAAAAGAAAAAAAAACAACTGTGATCATATATGTATAAGTTTTCATAATTAATTTAGTAAATTAACTTTTGTAAATACTAAATTAATTTATAATACTCACACCAGAAAAGAATGATGTGAGACAAGCACATATTGCCTCTGTGCAGTTGAAGTCTAAAATGGTCTTAGATATATGGGTACATGCAACTTACCAGTACATGTACATGAAAGCCTTCCTTTCCAGCTTTTTGAAAACCTGTATTTTCTGCCACTGCATGATAACTTGGGCAGAATATATGAAACCTTGCGTCATTCTTTACCCTGAATGGCATGTAAAAGCTTTTGAATATTTGAACAGCTGGTGCTTGTTTTTATGCACATAGAAAGAGGACTCGATTCTGAAACAGTACCCGGTAAATAGTGCAGATTTTGCCTAGGATATACACACTGAAGAACCTGGGTGTGCTAGTAATTTTTATGTTTGTTTCAACTTAAACCATATTAGTAACACTGTTTTTCTCAATATTTCAGTGATCCAGCAATGAAACAGTTTCTTCTTCAGCTGGATGAGAACAATGATCTTGGAAGAAAATTTGTAATCCAGGATCTAGATGAGACCCACCTCTTCCTCTCAGCAGATATTATTCCATTGTTACAGGACAGGATAGATGACCTGATGGACAGACTCTCTTTCCCTGTTACTAAAATGGAATGACTGTAAAATTTTGCTGTCACAATTGAGGTGATGCCTCTAGTGGACAGTCAGCTGTCACTGTCAAGGTGACCTAGACCTAGATATCAAGGTCATTAAGCTGATGGACAGCTGGTACAGCTACAGGAGTGATATATGTGATGGGTAAAGCGGTCCATTGTTATATGCTGAAGGATGGCCTTTGGATTTTATTAACAACAGAAGTACATGTTACATCAGCTGCTCCTTTTGTCTCTCATTCCCACATGTTCACCAGGGATCCCAACTACCACAATTATTGTGACTGGTATACATCTTACATACATGTAGCAATGGCAGAGTACACTGCATTCTTTTTTTTTTCGCGAAAATATGCAATGTCACATCTGAAGCAAGTGACTTTGACAGTTGTCACACATGAAGGTGACACTGGCGTAATTGAGACATAGTCTTTCATATCTTGCAATCACAGTCACATGGATAGAGTTCAGTAAAGTTACAGTGACTTAAGATAACATATATTATAATGTAATACCACAGAGGCTATGGTGACAATCACAGTAAGGCAAGAAATAGCTAATGGATATGGATCTAATAATCATATGTATTTTTGGCTTCCCTTCTAAAATATAAAGATATTACTGAATAAAATGGTGTTATTTAAATAATGTACTTTATAATCTTTTTGAGTACTATACAGACTCGAGTGCCTGGCAGTGTTAACAAATGCTGCAATGGTACTTCTACACGTATTGCTCATCGCTATTACTTACTTTACTTTTGCTGGGTCCATTTTATCATTTAAAGATGTAAAGAAACAGACTACTTATGTCAAATCATTGAAATCATGCCACTGCTGATCAAATACTCCGGAGTGTTTTAAATAATACAATATAAGAAAATACCCCAGTACCCCAGTTTTATTACATTATTACTCGAAAAATAATGTTTTTGCTTGCTTTCTTTGCCTTATGGGCTGTTGAGAGAAAGGGTCAAGTGTACAACAATAAAGTAGAAAAAAGTGCAGTTTTTAATATTTTTTTCTGCTGCCCTAGAGATAAATTTAGGTAGGTTATTTGGAATGTGGATTTTATTTATATTTTGTTTAAAAAAATGGTAGTAATAAATTTATATACGTTACTGGGAACTTACTCTTGCTTCATGTCTTTGATTACAGCATCCATTAAAGAATCTATACAGCAAATAACATCATGTCTTATCCGTTCCTGTTATTTTCTGGATTTAATCCAGATGAAGCAATTCTAAGTGGATGCATATAATGTAACAAAGACATAAAGTTTGTGCTCGGATTTCGTCCATGGTGGGCCGCACTTTATTCTGAATAAAACCCTGTGAATTTGTCTTAAAGGACGTTACTGCCAATAACAGCACCTGTATTCCAACTTAAAAACAAATAACTACATGTACCCTGTATAAAGTACTGATTTGTGGAGTTCCAAAAGCGCCTGTAGAGCCGCATTTTGCACGCCCCTTTTAAGTTTCTCCGGAACTCCAAAATACATTTCGTTATCACATTCGTTCTTCGATCATTGCGTTCAATTTATTATTTAAAACTTCCATCAAGCAATCTTTACATTAAACAATTTTGTAGTTAGTCAGAAACTCTATAATGCTTTACAATCTTCCGCCATCGCATTATTTTTTGGGCCTGTTATTCATTTTATTATCTATCTTCTATTAAACAATCTTTACTGCATGTTTAGATGAATAAAATGTTTTATTCGCCCTACTCCAAAAATATATATAGTTTGTCAGGAACTCCAAAACGTGGTGACAATTTTCCGTGGTCGATATTTGTTTTTCCGTCATGTCTTTCATTCTATTGTTTAAAACTTCCATTAAGCATGCAATCCTTACAGCAAACAATTTTATAGTTTGTCAGCAACTCTAAAAACATATAAATAGTTTGCCAGGAACTCCAAAAAGTGGTGATAATCTTCCGTTATCGTTATTTGTTTTTCATTCCCGACTTTCATTCTGTTAATAAAAACTTGCATTTAACAGACAATTCTTACAGCAATCAATTTTATTGTTTGCGATAAAAAAACCAAACGCGTTGGCAATCTTCCGTTATTGTAATTTTTCTTTGGCCTTACGGTGACTGCAGTTTTGCTAACAAATGTGCTGCTTCTTGATCGATTACCTTTTCAATTTCATTTTTATTATGTACAGACAGAGATTTGTCTGTTCATACAGCCGTCACCGCCGTCTGTCGTTGGCGTTGTGCACTTTCAGCGATTACACGATAAGCGGAAATCATTTCACTAATGGAACAAATGAATATTCATAAAATACAGGTGAAGTTCGAAAATCGGCATGATCGGGCAATTTTTTTCAAAAGTTATTCTATTTCTTTTCGCTTTTTTCAACATATTTTATCCACTATTATAGGGCCTATAGAAAACCAAGTCGGATTAAATAATTTTTCTGGAAGTTTTACAGACTTTTTTTTTGTCTGTACATTTGACAGCTTTGCTGCCTTGTTGAAGAATATGATGAATAATACCATTGTTCTATACAGGTTGTGGTACCACATGGCATTGTTCACAAGCATGTACTTAAAGCTTGGCATTATATATTATATTTCTGATGTACAATCAAAATTCATGTCTTGGTAAGTATCACTGGTAGAATGTGATTGGAATCAATATCGGGGTTGAGTAACAATAAATTAGCTATTTCTAAACATCGACTTGTCACCAGCACCTCGACTTCTAAAGACGACCATGTGGGGAATTTCAGGTTTTCTATTTTGATTTTATGGAATGTTACGTCTTTAATTATGTTTCACCTTCACACAGAGGTGCGAATAGTTAGGGCTATTAAAACAACTATATAGATAAAAGAGGTAGAAGTGATAACATATTCACTAAGCAGCAACATGTTGCATTACTCAATTTTGCTTTTTCCCAACATCAATCTGAATGCCGGACAAAAAGCTCTTTCAGTTTTGTGCCCCCCCCCCCTCCATCACCACCACCACACATGCGTCCAGACCCCCCCCCCCCCCCCCAGGTAATCGGTTATTCATCTATTATTCAGCACGGATCCCTGACAGCTGCACAGATGTATGTTCGATTGAAGTTTTTGATTCACTGATAAACAGAAACAGCGGAACAAGGGTATGCTAAATAAATTTATGTTGTTATGTAAACATGCGTTTTTTTTCTAAATATCGATCTGTTTTACCAATTACTGTGTATATATAAAGTAAACAAACGTCCCTAGTGAATCCATCAGTTCCGTCAAGTAAGCCCCGCAGACCGGAGCGTTAAAATGCTGGTTGTCTACCATTCAATCGTTGTTGTCAGCTTAATTAGTAAGTAATGATAAGTATTAGAAAGATTTACGGGACGAAGCATGGTTATTGTTGTTTCTGGATTGTATCAAAGGGCGTCGCTTAATTCAGATATAATAATTGTTTTAAAAAGTAATGGCTTTTATTAAAAGGGAACTTTGGACATTTGGATATCAATTTATTTTTGCACCAATCAGATGCCAAAATTATTTGTTAACCACAATCTGTAAACTGTAAAAAATAACTATTGTACATGCTATTTTCAATAAGGCCCTGGCAAAACAATAGATTTTTTTTAATATGGACGAGAAGTCTGAGAAGTGCGCAATAATGTGA